GGATTGGCATGCACACGTGCGCGCGCGCGCGCACACACACACACACACACACACACACACACAATACGATAATACTAATGATTAGCCCAATAGTGTTTTTATAGTTAATGTGATGTCAAACCTTGTGTCAGAAGGAATATGTAATAGCATGTCTGACATGCATGCCAGCATTGTGGCATGCATAACATTTTTAGGCATTTAAATTGCAAGAAGGGTTATTTGTTAAATGAGTATGTAGCAGGTTTCAATATATAACCACCAACACAGCTGTTCAGAAAGGATTTTGAAAACCTTTATTTCCTTTAAATTACTGAAAGTCTTACTCTGCGATCCCATTTTATATATATATATATATATATATATATATATATAATGCATACATATATGTATACACACACTATATATATATATAAGTGAGAAATACAAACTCCATGTTAGAGGACTCCCCAGCTCTGGACTCTTGTGCCAGGGAGATGCTACAGTCTTTAACCCACTGGGCACTGTTGAAATGTGCATTAATCAAGTCACATGTGATCCCCATCTAGGCCTGGAACTCCTGCTGCTTTGGACAAGATGGGAGGCACAGTCTCTTTGTTGAAGTGGAGAGGCCCCGGGACTCACAGGCTAGCCTCCTGAAGGGCACCACTCCCTGATCCTCTCTGGCTCTTCTTCTCTCTAGGAACTGAGTAGGTGAGAGCAATCTTTCTTTTCTTCCCTCCCACTGGGCTTACAGACATGAGCCACATGTCTGGGCCCACCAGTCTTTGTATCCATTCCACTTGGAAGCAAACTCTTCCTGTTCTCCTGGCTCCTCAGTGAACAGTAACAACTGTTGACAATGAGCAATTCCTCTTTTCTAAAACTCACCTACTCCACAGGCATCCCGGTCCCATCTCTCTGGTCATTGTCTTGGTTGGAAGGCTTGGAGGAGCCAAGTCAACAAGACTGCTATAGGAGAATTCCTAGTGGTGTCAATGAAGTGTAATTGTGTGAATTCACTGTAGTCATACAGAATAGATAGCAAGGACGGAGTAGAAAGAAGAAAATGAATATTCATTTTGCATCTATTCTGTGTCAGAACTTGGCAAGATATTTTTATATGTTATCTCACTTAACCTTCAGAGCAATATTGTGAAGTGGAGAGTGTGAACCCAGAGAAACTTAACCTCAGCCTCTTCTATGTATGAATAGAATAAAACAATAGCTAAAATTTGTGATGCTCATTATATGCTAATCACTATGACGAGTTCATTTGATCTTTACAACTTCCTGAATGAGGTCCAATAGAAACACTGTTCCTGAGCTGAGGGTTGGTGGCTCCTATCTGTACCTTGGGAGGCTAAGATTCAGAGGATTGCAGTTTGAGGCTGGCTTCACAGAAGAGTCCTCAAGACTCCATCTTCAAAATAACCAGAATAAAAGCAATGCTGGACGCATGACTCAGGTAGTAGAGTACTAGCGGAGCAATCAAATCAAGGGAGTATGAGACATCAAGTTCTAATCTGGGCACTATTTAAAAAAATCTTATTTTAAAGATGAAAAAATTGTGTCAGACATAGTTCATGAGACTTCCTACAAAGAAATTAAATGCATTTCCAAAGAAATAGTCCTGGGATGAATTCAGGCACTGGAGGTCAATGAAGAGTAAACATTGTCCTGATTTCCCAGACAGACACCTTAAGTTCTGGTCCCCATCTCCTTTCAGCTGAGAGGTAAATTAGCAATGCCTAAGGTTGCTTAAGATTGGAAAGGAAAGGCCTTGTCAGCATTCCCAGTGGGACAGAAGATGACTTAATAAATATTCAAAACAGCTTTCCTAAAAAATGGCATATTAAGACCATGGTTTTTTTTTTCCTTTCCAGGTGCGATTTCTTATTACTTGGTTGGCTGGCAGCCACCTGGCTTTGGAAACACTAACACTGTGTAAACTATTTGGGGTCAAATCTTTGTGAGCAGGGCAGGTGATTCTACAAGCCACATTTGCCCTCAGATACACAAGTGTAAATATTCTTGGCTCTTCAAGGCGGTAGGCATACTACATTAATTTCCCAAAGGGGGAAAAGAAATCATTTCCCCTCCTTGGACTCTCATTGGTAACTTTGAACAGGGAATCTGAAAGATTAAGGAACTGGTTCCTGCCATGAGAAATGGAAGCAAACCAGATTTGCTGAAACCTAGTTGCAAGCAGATTTTATGGATTTTATTCCACTAACCCTTCCAAAGAATAAAGAAAGATGTGGCATTTTAAGGCATTTTTATGATAGATTGTATCTTAGAATAGCATTGATAACCAGTAAACATGTTTGGTTCTTAATGTTATTACTTAGTATAGCTATTTTAACATCAAACACAAAGACTTGAAAATGCCTATCACAGGAACTATTTTGCAGATTATTTGGCATTTTTAATAACACATATAGATTTTTGTATACTCAATTAAAATAAATATTTAATCTGACTTAATCAGATAATTAAAATAAAGATGTCCCAGATATCAAAACTCGCTTGGAAAAGTACATAGATGTCCTTAGTTTCATGCATTGAAGATATTTCTAAAGGGTTGCACACAAATCAAATTTTTGTCATTCGAGTTATGATTTGTAATTTCTAGGAGAAATGTTTATATGAAAGACTGCCATGATGAGATTAGTCACTTTTTAACCAATTTGTAATAGTAGGATTTTGCTTCCTGCCATTAAAAAAAAGTGTGTCCTAGATAAAAGCATCAACTTGCATTTACTACTTCAATTACACTGTTACAGATAATTACAAAGACATTTGTAAATGCTCTGCTATTTATGATTTTATTTCTAGGACAGTCTGAGAATATACCTACATTTGTATCTAGGTCTATATCTGTATCTTCTAGAAAAACATAGATTCCAGAGTTATTTGGTGTTAGGATTCAAAAAACAAACAAACAAAAACCCTTATCCTTCCAAACCATAGATTCCTTTTTTTTTTTTTTTGGTCAGTCATGGGGCTTGAACTCTGGGCCTGGGAGCTGCCAAACCATAGATTCTTGTAGATAAAATGCTTTGATTATTTAAATTAATGATTAGATCTAGTTAAATGCATTCCTATCTACTTTTCTGGAAATTTCTGAAAACAAGGCAAAACGAAGAAGAAGGAAACAACACAATATGTGTCATTTATACTTTAAATAAATTGACTATGGTAAGTTATAAACTTCAATTTGTCAAAGCCACTTGCCTTTAAAGTCTGTGCACATTCATATTATTGTGACACTGAGTTTTTGTTTGAGTTTTTTTTCTAATTTCCATCTTAATGAATGCATATATTAATGTGCTAAGTGGTATAATGAATTGTATTAAATATGTAATAGATGTAATAACAGACTTTATTTTTATAGAAACCTTAAACCAAAGGACATTTTTAAATGAATACGATTGCTATATTTTCCTGTGTGCAGTATCTTTATTTAATGTAACTTTGGCCACAGAAATAATACAACAAATGTGTGCTAAAAATTACTTCCAGGTACGTGTGTGTGAGTTTGGGGTGGGGGAAGGGAGCAGTGTATACAGGCATACCCTTTCCTTTTTAGTTTAAATATTGAGCTCTCTGCCTGTGCACTGGAGTTGCATTTTCCTCTTAGTCCCTTTGGCTTTTTTGTCCCTTCTACCCTTTCTTCTTGCCTAACTCCCGAAAGCAGGTGTGGGAGGAAATTGGTTTCTCTCCTTCCAGCCACAATCATCTCACATTCCGTCTGTTCTCAAGACCGCTTTGCTAGACCTTTCTGTCCAGATGAGAACGCTCCACATGTTGTGAAATTTAACACTGCATTTCCATCCTCTCAAATTTCATTCCTCTTATAGAGGAAGTTTGTACCTTGCTTTCCTCTTAAGGGTCCACACCTGATTGATAGAGGAAAAGCTTGGAGACACTGGAGAAAGGCTCTTGTTTCTGGCTTTCTTCCCTAAGCTTTAGAGATGTGAAACTTGGCAGGGGTGTCACAGTGACCCTGCTTGGAAAGTCGAGCAGGACCACCTCTAACCTAGTAAGCAGCCTCCTCTCCTCACCCTTCACCAAGCCCTACTCACACCAGTCTCCTTTCTGAGATGAAACTTTAAAGAATCCTGTGCACCCTCGACCTCCTAGCCGGTGACTGCAAACTCTGAGTAGAAAAACCATCTCCACTGCATAACAACCCTTAACCCAGTGTGTCTCCTCAACACAGAGGAGACACAGGTTAGTGTGTGTGTGTGTGTGTGTGTTCACTCTGATCACCCAGCTCGAAGACATTCTGCTCAGGATGACATGTCTAGGCTTGCATGAGCTCACGTTATGTACAATTTGAAAGGCCTCCCTTCTGAAGTTTTTTGGCCAAAAAAAAAAAAAAGAGGAAAACCATTTCTCCTCTGCCCGTTTGCATTTGGCAAAACGAACATGCCGTGTGCAGCTGCACGCCGGGGCCTTGGATTTCTTTTCTCTGCAGGACGCAGGGTCCGTGGGCACTGTCAGATCCGGGGGTCTTGAACCCCTAAGATTTGCATCCACCGCCCCTCCACATGCCTTGTGCTGGGGATTTCTTTTCAAAACATTCTTAAGAACAAATGACACTCGGTCCTGGAGATAAGTTGCGGAGAACTGATGCTCGTCTAGGATGGCTGGTTTATCCCCACATCCAAGAGGGGGTGTGTGGGGGGGGAGGGCAAGGGGGTGGTAAACAGACATCAAGCGCGGTTCAAGCCTGGGGGCACCCAGAAGAGTCATCTCTCCCCGAGGGATAGTCTGCACCCCTCACCTGCACACCCCCCCTCCTCCCCGCGCCCCTGGGGACCACGCACCCCTCACTCAAGTGGGGCTGGGAAGGGGGAGGGGGTTAATCAGGAGAGCTGGCCAGGTGGGGCGCCCAGCGCCCGCCCTCCCCGCCCCGTCCTGACCGCGGTGGGCGTCGGAGGTGAGGGGGCGCTGTTCGGGCAGCCGTGCGCCGGTGGCGGGCGGGCGGGACTGCTGCCAGGCTGACGGGAGACGCGGGCCCGCGTGGGGGCCGCCGCCGCCGCCGCCGCGGTGATGCGAAGCGGGTGCTGGGCCGGGCGGTGGAGTCAGAGCCGGGGCGCGGGAGCCGGAGCTGCAGCCTCAGCGCGGCCAGCGGCGGCGGCGGCGGCGGCCACAGCAGCCCCGGCTCCCCGGCCCCGAGCCGCGCTCTCCACCCCGCCGCGCCGGGAGCCGCCGCCCCGCGCTCTCTATGGACGTCAAGGCGGCCCCCAACGGGGTGGCCACCATCGAAGACCGAATCCTGCGGATCACCGGCTACTATGGCTATTACCCGGGTTACTCCAGCCAGAAAAGTAAGACGCGGCGGCGGCGACGGGGCTGCGGTGCCCCGGGCTGGGCTGGGGCGGGCGCCGCGGGGCCGCGGCGGGGCGCACGGGCGGGACACCTGCAGCCCAGCCACCCTCCGGGCCTGGGGATCGGCGGGGTGGAAAGTGCGTCCGCTGTCCGCGGTGCTGAACCCCGAGCCCGCCAGGGGTCTCCCCCCTCCCCCGGGCTGGTTTGGAGCGGGAGTTTGGGGGTGGGGGGGACAGTCGCAGAGGACCCTCCCGGGGCGCCCAGCCCGGCCCGCCGTCGGCCGATCGCCCCGCGCGGATGGACGCCGCCGGGGAAGAAGGCGAACATGGCTGTTCCCCTAGCGCACACTCCCCGAAAAGCCCTACTGGGTGTCGGGGTGCGTACAGGGGATGCAGGCGGGGGGGGGGGGTGGCCGGGGGCGGGTGACCTAGACGTGGGTCCCCTGGCTGGCTGGGTGGGCTCAGCGCACTCGGGGGTGGATGGGACGTGGTCAGCGCGGGAATTCCTGGTGAGCACCGGGCTCCGGGAGGCTCTGCACCCGGGGCAGAGCGAAGCACCCGCTCAGGTACCCCAGCCAGGAGCTGGCAGCACACATCGGAGCAAAGGACGGGCGGAGGGCGAGGGGCAGGCGCGGCAGGGCCCCCCAACCCCGTGCCCAGCGGGCTGCGCTGCCCGAACCCCGCTGTCTCCCCGCGGCGAAGCGCAGCCTGGCGGGGAGGAGGTGCTCACGTTTCAGGAGCAGATTTCCAGGGGGGAGGGCGACGGGGGGGGGGGCTCTCTGCTGCCCTCCCCACCCCAACACACAAACCCAAGAGCTGCCAGGCACCGGAGTGAAGCTCGATTCCCCCCTCCCCCCCCCCTTTTTTTTTTTTACTTTACCAGTTCATTTCTGTCTCAATAGAAAGGGCTTAATGAATATTTTGTTACTGTTGTGCTCTCTCTCTCTCTCTCTCTCTCTCTCTCTCTCTCTCTCTCTCTCTCTCTCTCTCTCTCTCTCCCCCCTCTCTCTAGCCTTTGAAGCTACCCGATGCATATCTGCATTTTGGGGGTGCCATTGACAGGATAGGGTCATTGAAGTTAGTGGACCTTCTCTCCCCCTCCAACCCCTTCCCCGCCACACATATAGATGAGAAATCACTTTTTTCCTCATGTAACTTTGTGCCCTGCTATGCTCGTTCTCTGTTGAATCATAATTCAGCAGCTTGGTTCCGTGGGCCTTTCTCACACAGATATTTTCTAGTTTAATATTTCATTTGGTTTCAGGAAAAGGCCTCTCCGCTTTGGATGGGCTCTGCCTAGCTGTTTTTAGCAGGAGAAGCTTACATTATTCATTTTTCCATACAAAAGTAATTAGATAGTGGTAGAATTTTTTCTGGGGAGAAAATAACACATCGTGGAATGCTCTTTGAAGTCTTTGTACTATAGCCTCAAAAGTTTCCCCCCCCCTTATTGTTCAAAGGTGTCTGTCTACTTTAAGCCTCTATTCTTAAGTAAAAGCACCGATAGATCTTGAGGAAACTACTTGAATTTCACCTCTAAATATTTAAATTAGGAACCATGAGATTTGGTCATTGAGAGAATAAAGAATCTAAAACCACAGACTCAGGCAAGTTTATTATTATAATTTTTATGAAAGTAGAATTTTGTTGAATGAAGAACAACCCAGAAAGAATACTGGGAAAGTGACATTTTAGATAAGAACATGTTCCTATCTTATTTTTGTGTTTGCTCAAAGAGCTGTGCATGTTTCATTTGCAACACAATAGCAGGACAAAGAAAGGGAAGAGCATTGGCCAAGGCTGTGACTGGAAGCCAGAAAGGATAAAGATGCATTTGGCATAGTTCTTTGTGATGGTCGATTGCCTAAATTCAGGCCACAGAGTTCAAACTGTGAATACAGAGACTCTCACAAGAATAGAGAATTTAGAGATAGAGTTAAGTATCTCTGAAGACATTCACACTTTCAGATGCAGAGAGAGATTGCCATTTTTTCACAGTGAGAGACTGGCAGAGGAGAGAGCTGGAAGAGGGCCAAGCAACCAAGCACCATGAAATAATCCTGCTCTTAATGCAGGCTTCAACTAGTAAACAAACACATTGAAGCAAACTAGTACAATATGGTCAATTGATTTAGCTGCTACCAGAAATGAGCAACAGCTTGGGGAAAGTCTGGAAGAATATATTCAGGAAAAAGCTACAGTGATGAATATATGATACGTGAATGCAAGGTGACTTTCCTGCCTGTCACCTATGAGAGTTTAAGGATAGGATGATCTATAACTTTTACCTTTTTGGAGGTAGATGAGACCCACCTATAAGAAATTTGCACAGAAGATCAGCCTTGTAGTAATATATCCTGCTGCTAAGCTTGTATCTTGTCCAGAGCAACTCTTGTATGGCTGAGAAAAAAAAATTGTAACAGGATTCAGAGAAATGAAGGTACTTTTATGGCCGCCAAGCCACTTAAAAAATCTTGTTCAATTTGATGAGCAGTTCACACACACACACACACACACACACACAATCCACAATCAGGGTTCAAAGATGATTAAAGCGTAGTGGCTAGCTTTGAGTTATTTATAACCTAGGGGAGAGCTGATGTCTGTTAAGAGATAGCAAGGGAAGTGGTGATATGTGGTTAAATTCTGGGTATATTTGAAATTAGAGCCAATAGGGTTTTTTGATGGTCTGAATACAGTATCAGAGAGAAGGAGAGAGAGAGAAAGGTTGGGGGAGAGAGAGAGGAAGGAAGGGAAGGAAGGAGAGAGAGAGAATTAAAACTAACCATGTTTTCTGGTTTGACCAAGTTCATTGTATGTGTGGAAGGAAGGCTTCAAGGTAGAGAAATTCAAGAAGCTGAGATCTGAGGATCGTGGTTCAAAGCCAGCCAGGGCAGAAAGACGATGAAACTATCTCCACTGGAGAACAGGAAGTGGTGCTATGGCTCAAAGTGGCAGAGTGCTAGCCTTGAGCAAAAGAGCTCAGGGAGCCGGGCGCTGGTGGCTCACGCCTGTAATCCTAGCTACTCAGGAGGCTGAGCTCTGAGGATCTCGGTTCAAAGCCAGCCCGGGCAGGAGAGACCGTGAGACTCCTATCTCCAATAAACCATCCGAAAATCGGAAGTGGCGCTGTAGCTCAAGTGGTAGAGCGCTCGCCTTGAGCTGAAGAGCTGAGGGACAGCGCCCAGGCCCGTTCAAGCCCCACGACCGACAAAAAAAAAAAAAAAGAGCTCAGGGACAGTACTCAGGGCCTGAATTCAAGCCCCATGACTGGGGTGGAGTGGGGGGTGAAGAAAAGAAGAAGAAAGAAGGAAAGAAAGAGAAAAAAGAAGAGAAAATTCTAACAAAGTTAGTTTTTTGCCAGTCCCGGGGCTTGAACTTAGGTCATTGGTACTGTCCCTGAGCTTCTTTGGCTCAAGGCTAGCACTCTACTACTTGAGCCACAGTGCCACTTCTGGCTTTTTTCTGTTTATGTGGTTCTAAGGAATCAAACCCAGGGCTTCATACATGGTAGGCAAGCAGCACTCTGCCACTAAGCCACATTCCCAGCTCTCCTAACAATGTCGGATGTATTAGAGTAGACTTAGAGTTCATAGATGCCTGATTGGAAATATAAGTTAGGGATTTCCCAACATTTGACAGTATTTAAAGCTGGACAGTGGATGAAATCTTCAAGGAATAAATATATAAAGATAAGACAAGAGAGGCAAGGATGGAACATGGAGACACTGAAGGCAAAAGAGGAAAAATGATTAAAAGAGACCAAAAAAGAACTCCAGGAGTCAGTAGGAAAAGCAGGAGCATGTGATAATCTGGAATCCAGGGAAGAAAGAGTTTCAAGGGCAAGGGATCAGAAGAGCTCAATGCTGTTAAAAAGCCAAGTGCCAGGAAGCCTGTAACTAAGTTTGACAAAGGAAGGTCATTGGTGACTTGGTTGTTGTTGTTTTACTTTTTTAAAACTTTATTATAAAGAGGCTGTACAGAGGGGATACAGTTACATGAGTAAGGCAATGAGTACATTTCTTGTCGAGAATTGTTACTCCTTCCTTTGTTGCTCTCTCACTATCCCTTTCCCCCTCCACCTCCCTCCCTCCCTCCCCCCCCCCCCCCACCAAGCTGTAGAATTCATTTCCAGTATACTGTCTTGTGGGTATCATTGCTGCAATGGGTCATCTTGTATCCTTGTTTCAGCGTTTTGTTATTCCCCTTTCCCCCTCAAATTGGACAAATGTATATTCAAGATGCAGGGTACCATTATCAAGTACAGCGACAACAGGAGATATACAATAGGGAGATGAACATAAGCATCTGGATAAGAGCAGATAGGGTGGGAAGACATGTAGTAGGATGTATTTAAAAGGACTAGGGAGAAGAATTGGAAACTTAGTATAGATGACTATTCAGTGGTTTGTGTGCAAAGGGAAACAAAATAAATGAAGGCAATGAAATCTAGATTTTTTTTTTCTTTTAAAGCTATGAGAAATAAGTTGTTTTCATGCAAAGTAAATAACTCGACAGAAAGGTAAAAAATGGTGTTGGGAGGTAGGATATGGAATCCAGAGCCCAAGAGATGTTCATTAATGGGGCTTTCCATAAGAACAGCAACAGCAGAGTATTGGGGCCAGGTCTGGAAGGGGGACGTTTGAGATCATGGAAAGCTGTTGCGGTTGTCTACTGGTGGCTTTAGTTTTCTCAAAGTCATCAGCCAAGAGTAAGGATGGCTGAGAGCAGGAGAGGCTGGAATAGAGGGAATGCGTGAATGGTTATGATAATACGGAGAGTCAATAAGCAGAAGAGCATCCGGCAGCTCTAGGGCCCACCTGTCAATAGATCTTTTAATCCACGGACACAACAAAGGCATGGAAAAGTGATAAGAAGGAATAACCAGAGTTGCAGATTATCCAATGGTTGTAAAATAACAAGGGCAAAGGAGCTGTGTACAAGGAAGTAGTATATGACTGGCCATGAACCTAAACCTAAACCTTCTCTGTAAGCAGAGA